TCTCTCTCTCCTCCTTTAATTGATTAACCAATTAAATGGGATTTTACATCCCTAATATGAACAAGTCACTGAGACTGCAAGGGCCTTAAAGAGGCTACAATGCTATTGTGTAAAATTCACTTAGGAGATTTTTATTTTAGGTCTCTGGTCATTTTGGGGTACTGCACAGGTGTGGCAAAGCATCTGCATTGCTCTGAATCCTGCTCACATTTTAGATACAAAAACAAGGTTATCCAGTTACTGGGAGCTTTATAACAGGGATAGGGAACCTTTTTGGGTCAGGAGCCGCTAATCCATAGAGATATCAGTCGGGGACTGCACAAAAACAAAACAAAAAACCCCCCCTCACACTCTTGTGTGTCCGCATGTGCACACACACACACAAATCCCTCAAAACCCCTTGATGCAGTGTGGTGATTTTTTATTTTATTTAGAATTTTAGGGTTCTGGAGCTTGCTTGGCTGTGGACACTACCTAACGGCACCCTATGCAGGGAAGGGGCTTGGAAGCTTCCTTTCCCTCCCACTCTGGGAATGGATTCCTCCCTCCTCCTTTCCTTGCCTATCCCACACACCTCTTTACCAATAGCTCCAGCCTCCCTGCTGCTGCCCAGTGCACAGCTCAGAAATGCCAGCAGAGCTCCTGTTCACAGTAGGGGCTCCAGCATGTGACGATTCCCCTTCTGGCCAGGTCTCCTACATACAGAAGAGAAGCCAGAAATATCCACCCCGAGCTGCAGGGGAGGCTGGGGGAAGTCTTTAAAGCAGGCCCCCGGACCCTCCACAGCATTTCACAGCCATGAGATCCTCCCCCAGGGCTGGATTAAATACCATCCTTTCTTAAGGGCTCTTCTAGTTGAGCTTTCTATGAAACATCTAAATAGCTTTCCTAAGTATGAATTGATAAGTCTGAACATTATGCATATTGTAAATTTGGCAGGGGATTAAATCTAGTTTAACTGATTTCTTTTAAACATCAGTTAAATACTAAATGCAGAAATTAAAGTATTTAACTGATTTCTATCCCATGTACTAATTATTAACTTCATTCTATAGCATTTCACAAATTACTTTCAAGCCAGATACATGAACCAGTACTATTGTGTCCTTACTTTTTTACTAATAACTTTATTTAAATAAGACACAGGAACTTCTATACTGAAAAAATACAAAACAAAAGCCACACGTTTCCTTGTGTAAAGCAATATTGTGAGATAACTTGAATACTGTTCAGAACAGTGGCTAGAAATAACAGTACAGCTATGTACAAAACTTTAAACAATATTTGACAAATTTCTACAGCTGGATGTAGGATACATTGGAGATCAACAACTGCTGGGAAATTTACATGGCAAAGCATTAACTTCAACACATTTGGTTCAAAACCTTCAAAAACGCTAAGAACAAATGTGCAACACAATTAATATTTAGTTTCTCATGGAAAATTAAAGGCGCATGTAATGTCACTGTAGATATAGTACATCAGAGTTCATCATGGATCTAAAAGTCACTTTTTTAAATCTTTCTGGAATCCTAACACCAGCAACTGAAACTACAGATTCATACTTGGACACAACCAGAGCATAAAAAGGTCATCATACTGCAATGTTAATCTAGAATGAAAAACATTAGAACAAATTTGTACTTACATCACAGAACAGGTTATATTTTCCCTTTAACGTCAATCTACAAAATATATGTGTTCACCACGGCCTGAGATTAGTAGGGTTCAAGATGGCTGTTGCTGTGTGAGGGCTTCAGAAAGGTTCTTCATGTACAAATCATAAAAAAAATAAAACAGACCTCTCCTCTTACACTTCCCTTGCAGCTCCACCCTACAGTCAGAGCACTATTTTTTGACAGGCTGCAGATTTACACTTTGTAACAGAATATTAATAAAACATTCAGTAACAGGAAGGGAACTGGGCTATTTTATCCCAAAAAGAATACACAAAAGGATATTCTGAATATTTTTTCCAGTTTTATTAATAATTATGGGTGGTGCTATCTTACTCTCTTCCCACAACTCTCTAGCAGAAGAAAAAAAAACAATGGAGTGAATTTAAACCTGCAGTAGCTGCAAGTGGCTAATCTCTTCAATTCTGGGAAATGGTGAACTACATTCTCTTAGGAGCAGACAACAAACATAGTTCCACTGAGCTGAAACCAGTGGAGCAAGAACATCAAGTTTATTCTGCCTATTCTCTGAAAGCAATACTTCTGCAGTTCCAGCACAGTAAGATATTAGTTAACGGCTCTTGCTATGTACTATTTTGGACTGCAAGATCAAAACCATTTCATTTGAGTTTCTTACTGACATTAAACGACAAAAACTTTATAGAGTAATAATTTAAGTAAATGAGTTTACTATGAGAAGCTTTGAGTAGGTAAATTATTGCTTCCCTCCTCCTTTAAAAACATCTACCTGCTCCTTTTAGTCCACAAGCAGAATTACTCACTGTGCAAATAGAATGTCGCTCATGTTACTTGATAAAATCTCAGAAACCTAATTTCCACCTAGCAAACGAATGAACATTTCCAAAAGAGAAACTAAACATTAATATATCTCGTAGATGGTAGCATTTCACGTCCTTAACTGCCAACATAAACATGAGAGGAAATTCCTACCAACCCCTGTGAAACCTGAATGAATTTTCTGAAATTAAACAAAATATTCTCATCTTTTAAAATCCTTTCACACAACATGTGGAATGTTTCTTATGTACAGCCAGCACTGAACACTTTATTTGCAACAGTTTAACAGTCATTAACTGAGCAACACCTGAAACCTTTAAATGCCACATTTTACATATATTGAAATGACAGTAAATGCAACAGTTGTTTTACTTATAACCACATGACAAAGTGATGTTGTACATCACATATTTGCTGGTTCTCCTCATGTTCACCCATGTCCAGGGTCATCATTCCCCTAGACTTGAATGCACTTATTCCAAGACAGTGGAATGTAATGAGGAAATATTAATGCATAAAACAAGGAAAGGCAAAAGAGTGATGTTCCCTCTTTAGCTTTTTAGCTGTAAAATATTTTATATCCCAATATGATATACATTCCAAGTTACCTGAGTTTAGACTTCGAGAGAAGTACCTGAAGCTAGGCCATAGGGCGGGCACTGTGCAACTGTTGTGGCCATTTTCTTTTTTGCATTGTATGTATTACAGAAGTTAGAAACATAAACACCTGGATCAATTGTAAACATAATCCTGAAGTACAGTATTTTTCCATAGGACACAACACAGCAAGACATTTTCTATTCAGACAGGCAACTTTTTTGATACAGAGCTTATTTATACTGTAGAATTTGAAACAGAACACAGGACACAGTACTAATCTGGTCATACTATGAAATGCATAGTCTCCACTTAAATGTTTAATGATACACGGGTTCTGCAAGCATTACTGCTTTTTCACAAAAAACTGCTGAGTATGAATTCTGTCCCTGCCAAGAACAGTGTTGAGATATTTTTAAGATGCTGATAAGTATTTTGCTTTGTTCTGAAAAGATTGCCACTTCATGCAGATGTATTAGTACAGACTCCCAATCTTTGTTTCAGGGCAGAGGCCTGCTCCACCTTGGTCTAGATTATCACATAGCTGTGAGAGGAAAGTTCTTCGGTCTGAAGTTCCTGCAAAAGCGGCAGCTGCTGTTGGGATGACTGTTGTACTGAGACCTCTGTAGAGTCCATTGTGCTGGTGTCATCTGACAGAGATGAGAAGGAGACCCGAGATGAAAGTTGCTCAACAGTCAGAGTGCTCAAAGCTGTGCTTTGACCAGAATTTGGAGAGTTCTTGAGAGTCAGGTCTGAAGCAGGTAGTAGGGGACCCAGAAGTTTTACAGGACAAAAAGCTGATCCGGTTGGGATGAAATTAACTTTGTTTTTGTCAGGGCATGAAAAGAGAGGGGTTGAGACAGGCTGACGAGACCTACAACAAGACAAATTATTTATACACCTGACAAACTGAAAAAGTTTACTATATGAATAGATTTTGTAGTTCTACAAATTGCTAATATGTGAATGACAAGGAATGGGGTTAATTGGACATAAAGGGGCAAACATCTTCCATATTGGCTGTCAGTTGACTGTTTGATCCACAGCATTAATATAGTATTTATAACAAAAGTGACTGGATGCCACTGGACAACACGCACCTTTTAATAATAAAATCTACAGTATGTGTGCATGTGGAGAAATATCAGGATAGCTTATAATGATAAAATAGAAAAATTAGTTTGACAAAAATATTGAAACAGCAGTGTATATCCCTCTTGAGAAATTCTTAAAATAAAGTTTTCCTTTCCTCTTATCCATCTACTAGTCTGGAGCCTTCCTCAAGACCCCAAGAAACACTGCTCCTTATCCAGCAGGGAATGCTACTGAAGCAGAACATGCTCTCCTGGCTCCAACCTCTACCCTACAGCATAGCTAGAGAACTGCTGGTCGCGGGGGGAGGTGAAGGCCAGGAGTTCAAATTCTGGTCTCACACAACAGCACACAGTGGTACCCCAAAACTACTGGGCAAACCCTCTACTGTAAATTTAAGTCTTTATCTACTTTTACGCTTTCTATTTCAATTGTGTGTGTGAGAGAGAGAGAGAGATAGATAGATATAAAAATACAAAAATGCCTGCTCCTAACTTTTTGTTTTAGAACATGAACATTTTATAAAATGAACAAAAACTGGTAAGATTATAAAGAAAAGAATTTATAAATGCTGGACATAATTTGAAAACCTAAGTCTTCCATGTCTTCTTTGCTTTTCTTGTTTGCCTTTTATAAACAGTAAAAAGTTCAAGCATAAAATACTCCAGTCCTCTTCAAGCCAACATGAACACTTCAGCTTCTCGCCTGGTCAAACTCTCTAAGAACAGTTTGCTCCTGAAAACTCATCAGCTGGAGTAGTTTATTCATCTGCAATTGAATAGGTTCAGTAAAAAGGCTTACTGCTTTGCAGATACCAGCTGATATAAAAGGCATTACTTACGACATTTCCTCAAAGACCTTCACTCGCTCACATCCCTCTGGGGGCTCTCGTTTGAACATGTAGCTGTTGTTTGGTTTGGGAGATGAGGCATACTTGGGCAACGGTGAGCTACTCCCACTGTCTGAAAATTTAAAGCAGTTATATTACTAGTGATTGAGAGTGCTTTTTAATTAAATTTGATTTCCAAACAAGATGCCTTTTTCACAATTTAGTTTCTAATGCCAGTTCACCTCTACCACAATGCTCCCTTTATCGCAGACTATTTCTAACACCCTTGTATAGCACATTTCTTCTGAATAAAAGCTTCAGTGCAGCAGTAATCTACCATACAACAGCACATAATAGGAGGATATTTTTATCCAGAACATAGCAGATTGAATAAAGCAGAGCTGTAATCCTGGAAACAAATAAGTTCTTTATTATGTATTTCAAAAAATGTAAATGAACTGGATAATATGTATAGCACATGCAGAAGAATTACAAGTGGTTATGATAATGTAGAGTTCTGTATGCCTTTTCACTGAATAAACAAGGTAATTGAAAGTGATTGTACACAGCATATACTTTAGCAGAAATGTTGCCTTCAACAGCCTTCTGAGTAGCACAAGAATTAATGAAAATGAAACAGATTTGTACTCCTCCCTCCAACCTCACCTGAATAATCTGGCTGCACAATTTACCTTTTAAATATCTATAATAAAGTAAAACTTTGAACATTCTTTGTATTCTTCCTTCTAAGCACCAATTGTAGGACATAGGTGTTTTTTTATTTTTTCAGTGTTACAGTTTGTTACAAAAGTGGACCGTAGAATCACAGAGCCGACATACTTGAGCTAGTGAGCAAGTTTTTCTGTCTGATTTATCATGAAGCAAAGACTTTCATTAAAATAGTCGGGTAGGTGCAACAGGATGATGTTTAATAATTTGGGGGAACTCAAAGGGTTCATCTTGACTATGATGTGAATACGTTAATTCATTTCTCACTGAAATTTGAGGCATTTCTTAGGGTGACATTTCTTGGGATGAAATTTGAGGCATTTCTTGCTATTAAGTGGTCTTTGTGATACCAGTAGCATGGGAGGCAAAGCTAACTGTCCCCATCGCAGCTCATTGTGAAAATGGAACATCATGGTTAAGGAGACAATGGTAACTTGAAATCTAATCAGTTTAAAAAAAAAAAGTTAAGGAAGGGATTCAAAAGCGATTAGACATACCTAGGACATGAGAGATTCAAGATTAAATCCCTGCTTTGGATGTGGAAGAATGGACATTTCTGACTTTGTGGATGAATGGCCTAACCACTGGGTTAAGGCAGGGGTGAGGAAACTGTTGGGTTGGGGGCCACTGACCCACAGAAAAATCAGTCGGGGCCGCACACAAAACCCCCTCACAGATGCTGCACCCGACTGAGAAGCAGAAAGACACTCCTCACATTCCTTTTGCACACCACAGCCTAGGGGAACCCAGGCTAGTAGATTTTTGTATGCTAGGGGGGAGTGGCTGGAGCATCAGCTCAGGTTCCCCAACGGAAGGGGGCTGTGAACCTCGGGGACGATCCAGCCTCCGGGTCTGAGGTTCCCCATTCCTGGGCTAAAGGTTATAAAGGGTACACCACCACCACTATTTAAGACAAAATGCTACACTGACTTTGGCACTTAACTGCACATTAAGATGATTTACTCTGGCCCAGAGATAAGCACCTAACACTTTTGGAGGGGCAGAGCTTAAGGCATACTCCTTAGCCGTTCCTACTGACTAGTTTAGGCAGTTCTCCATTCAGTGCACTGGGTTATGCAAATCCTTTTTTAAGGCATCTTGCTGCTCTCATAAATTGTACAGAGAGTCTCGGCACCTAATTCCAGGTTTTGATTGTCATTAGGCAGAAAAGCACTGAAGTCCCCCTTGCGAATCCCACCATAAGAATTGTTTCTGTATCTGAGTTCCCCCAGATAATTTCTATGGGTTCCCACATACATTTTCCTATTTGTGAATGTTTTATTTTCCCCTGTTGTTTCTGTTGGTCTTTCATACAACAGGGGAAAATCTACTTACAGCACAATCTTGCACTTTGATCCACTAGCACAGGCTACCCTAAATCACTACAGAGACTCAATTCATTTTAAGTCCACTTTCAGAACCCACAAAACATTCTGCAAAAGTAATGGTATAATTATCACTCACAAATATAATCAATTTAAATGATAGGGGGTTTTGATCACTATTTCACAGTTAAGGGCCATTACAAACTTAACCACAATTTCCCTGAATAGTGCTACAACAGAGATGAGGAAATTTTTTTCTTAATTTTCTTAATAGCACTTTTGTAGTATGTTTCAAGGTTTCTTCCTCAAGAGTGAGCATGGACCTCTTAATTACAGGATAGTAGGTGTTACCTGTCTCCAAAAAGTAGTAGAGATTTGTCAAGCTGACAGTGTTAAGATCCTGTTAAGATCCTTTTAGAGTCTTTCCATTACTTGACTAGCATGCTGACCCGTTGGCTGTGTCTAGACTGGTCAGTTTTTCTGGAAAATCAGCCGCTTTTCCGGAAAAACTTGCCAGCTGTTTACAAAGCCGCTTGAATTTCCGCAAAAGCACTGACTTCCTACTGTAAGAAACCAGTGCTTCTTGTGGAAATACTATGCTGCTCCCGTTCAGGCAAAAGTCCCTTTTGTGCAAAACTTTTGCGCAAAAACGCCAGTGTAGACAGCTCAGATTTGTTTTCTGCAAAAAAGCCCCAATCGCGAAAATGGTGATGAGGGCTTTTTTGCGAAAAAGCGCATCTATATTGGCACAGACGCTTTTCCGCAAAAAGTGATTTTAAGTTAAAAGCATTTCCAGAAAATCATGCCAATCTAGACACAACCCATATGTAAAGGTGATATGCTGAATCAGAACAGGAAGACTGAAATGTGGCTGATGGAATATAATCCTGTGTTCATTCCCCCTCCTCTAGCATTTAAAATTGAAGATTCAAGTCTCTACATTAAGTGGCTGTGTCTACACTGGGCCACTTATTCCAGAAAATCAGCCGCTTCTCCGGAATAAGCTGCGAGCTGTCTACACTGGCCCTTGAATTTCTGGAAAAGCAACGACGGACGCTCTACTGTACAAAATCAGCCGCTATTCCAGAAAAACTATTCTGCTCCCGCTTGGGCATAAGTCCTTATTCCGGAACACTGTTCCGGAAAAGGGCCAGTGTAGACAGCACAGTAGTCTTTTCCGGAAAAAAGCCCCGATTGTGAAAATGGCGATCGGGGCTCTTTTGCAGAAAAGCGCGTCTACATTGGCCACAGACGCTTTTCCGGAAAAAGGGCTTTTCCAGAAAAGCAGCCTGCCAATGTAGATGCTCCTTTTCCGGAAAAACTGAAAACGGAATAGTATTCCGTTTTAAGCATTTCCGGAAATTCATGCCAGTGTAGACACAGCCAATCTGTTTGAAAATGAGGCTGTATTACTGTTTACTGCACCAAACCAAAAGAAAACGGTAGAAGTAAACCCAAGAGAGGTAACAGCCAAATTCAGAATAGCCCGCATACTAGCTGATGAAAGTTTTAGTTTGGATTTCTTTGCTTCAAACTGTTATAGGACAAATTAAGTAAATTGGTAAAAATAATTAATATCTAAGAGGCGGATATAAAGTAGGGGGATGGTTAGCAAGCTAATACAAGCTAATAGGTGGGTGGATGTGTGTTACAGAATAGAAAGACTTTCATTTTAGACAGAATGTGTGATTTTAATGTCTGAAGAATACATATGCTTATGAAGTGAGTCACACAGTACGTGCTTTGTGCTTCATTTCATAAAACCCTACAGGGTTTTTTTTCAGAGCTGCAAAAACAAAATCACAAGCCTATAATTATACCTGTATTTAAACCAGGAAGGAGAGTCTTTACAGTTTCTTAAAATGGTCTTCAGTAGTGCCAATATCTCATATGGTAAAGCTGTAGTGAAGTAGATACCACCAGTAATAAGTTCAGAAACATCCATTGTAATTTTCATATTTAAAAATAAGTAATATGCATTTTAATAATCATACAAATAATTCTTCCCAAACACTACTCCTTTGGAGGCAGGGGTGCATGGTTTCCTCCAATGAAGTCATTATTTTATCTCCATCAGCTAGTGGGGTGTGCGCTCTAACCTTATTTTGTTGCCATATGCCTAATGTACCTCTGTATCTGATCTTATCCAACTCAAGCTCCCAGGTTAGCTGCTCTGAATGGCTGGTCTACCTCTATCATCAAGTACATGCAACATTAAATTTCTAAAACATGTTTTTAAATACTACTAAATTGCTTGCATGCTGCTTTGTCATGTTTCAATCCTATTTCCCCTCCATTTTCCACAGGACTGTGGAACTGTCAACACTGATTTCGCTGCTACAAAATATGGTTCAGATGTATTTTTGTATCCTTCCCTTGTTTTGAGGCACTTATGCTCAGTTTATTGACACAAGTTTTTTTAATATTGTCAGTGCTGTAAAGCTCAATTCTGCACATACTGTGTGACTCACTTCTGCAAGCTCAATTCTGCTCTCCTTGGAAAAGTATCAACAAAATAGTCAGTTACATTTCCAGTACCAGAAGACTTACTGCAGATGAAGTTACATGAAGAATGATGAACACGGCTTAATTTTTTGATGCATTGGGCTGAGTATGCAAAATGTTGGCAGTTGGAAGCCTACAATTTTAGTAAATGAACGAATCAAATTTCGTTAAGGCAGCAGTGACAAAAGATAAGTAGGAAAATGTAAGATGTAACATTTATGTTCTTTTTTTTCCCACCATTACTACAATGAAGTCTGCCTTGGCAAACAGTTTTTTCGGACAGGAGTTCCAAGTTATACAACTGTAAACTTAAAATGTATACATATTGAATGCTATTTTATGCTTATGAATTAGAACATGTTTACAATTTAAGTAAATTTGACATACACAATTAAATTAAATAGGGCACATACAGATTAATTATGTAACAAAGCGTTTTTAAATCTCTAGATATGGATCAACAATGACGATACTGTCCTCTGACTGTACTTACACAAAAAGGACAGATATAAGAGGTAACCTGCAACATTTAACTATTAATTTTGAGTGGTAGATGGACCCCTTAAAAAAAAGG